TTACATTACTAAATCCACCATCAACTACTATTGTAGTGACACCTACTGCTTCAGCAACTCCTACAGATGATGGACTATCTGCTGGACAAATAGCAGGAATAACAATTGGAGTTGTAATTGGAGCCTTACTCATGATAATGATAATAATCAGTGTGGCCTGTCTTATATGGTAAATTGACCTCAAGTCAATACTATATGCATGAAGAGTATGTTTCATAGCTATAGGGAAAGATCCAATAAACTTATTAAAAGAGAAAATAATAGTGACTTTACTGTTGAAAATCAATATCAAGAAACTATTCTGCCTACCCCTGCAGGTAAATAATTCCAATACATATTTTTTTAATTTTCTGAAAATATTAGGTTCAGTCCGCAGTATCAAATTAAAAGTGGCCCAAGACTTTGACGGTAGTGATGAAGATGAAAGTGGAAGTGAAGATGATCTTAAGAGTGTCATTATGAATGAAAGAGAAAATTTAGGTGGCCAAGTTGAAAGTTTTGGTGAGATGCCTGAAGAATCTAAAGAAACTTTTATCTAAATATTTTTGTGCTGAATTTATTGCTGTTTAGTTGATCTTGTCTTTCCTTTCTGTAATTTTAATTATAGTCAGTGTGACTCCTTTAGTAAGCCTTTGTAGTATCTATGGCTCGATTTGTTAGTATTATACTAACACTAGTCTAGTTATTAATCTAGTTATTATCTAATGATAGTTTATTATTGTTAACAAACAATGAGACTGGGTCTGGCAATATAGTGGAGCTGCCAAACTTTTTGCTAGGATTTTCTTCTGCTTGCTAAATATTCAATGCAACAGTGCACTAATGGATCAATCCGCTTGGTAACTAGACAATGGTAAGCCTAGGCATATAAACATGTGCTTTTTAAAATTTAATAACCAGTCATTTGTAGTGATTGTTGGGGACACCGGACAACCAAGATGCCAGCATCTGAGCATCATCATGTGTGTATATAGACAGCTCAATATAGGATACTAGTTATAGTTTTAGGTGCATGAGGTCCAACTGCTACACAAACTGATCTTAGATATCTACTGTCTATACTGTCACTCAGTACTACAGCTTTAATTTTGATAGTCTTCTTTTGTCTGCTGGACATTCAATGCAAAACAGTGCAATGGATCAATCCGCTGGTGCTGGGTAAGTAGGATGCTGTAACATAGGCATGTGTTTTTTAAATTTAATAACCAGTAATTACTGCAATGATAATAGTCTAGTATTTGTAGTGATTTATAGGACGACTAAGATGCCAGCGTCTGAATGTCATCATATATGTATACAATAGACAGCTTGGATGCTAATTTTATTTTACTCATTAAATAATTTAGATCAACTAGAGTATTTGGCACCCCCAAAATATGAGCTCAAATAACACGGAAAGTAGTTTAGGAGTCCCCTATTTATAGTTGTGTCTCCTAGTTATGTTAGGAGCCTCCTAGTTAGTTTTTTTTTATTTTAGAGTGCCCCTAGTCATAATAGGACTCCCTAGTCTGTGTACTTTCCATGTTATTTGAACTCGTATTTTGGGAATGCCAGATTCTCAAATTGATCCAATAATTCTATGGATTTTTAGATGCATGAGACGGTTCAACTGCTGCACAAACATTATCATTATGTGCTAATGTCATAGATTTATTGTCCATATAAGGTATGATCATGAGGCAAAATTAATGACTTGATATTCATTTGATCATTTATGTGCATTGACAATTGACTCTAATTTGGTTAGTCAAA